TAATATTAATTAATTTTTAAGAAAAATTTAAATTAAAATAAAACGTATAACTGTAATACGTTTTCTAATATAATAAAAAATTAAAAATGTATTTGCAAAATACGGTTTTTTAAAAAATATAAGTACGAAAAAATCTTCTCCTCCACCACTCTGCGCGATCAAAACAGCGAGAAAGAAAAAAAACCTTCACTTCCTTCCATCTTCTTCACCTGAAAAAAAAAATAAAAAAAATTAACAATCAATCGATTTGGAGGAGAGGTTAGTTGTTATTTTAATGTAATGTAATTATATTTTTTTGTTGTTTATGAATGTGTAAGAAATATTTGTTGGTTTTGATGAGTATAGTTTAGAAAAGATTTATTGTTGATTTAATAGTTGGGTTAAATGATTATACATTGTTCTTAGATGATGGTTTTCGGTGTATGTTGAGAATTTTTTCGAAAATTGGATGATTTGTATTGTATGGTTGGATTATGAGAATTAGGGTTTTGGAGAGTTATTTTATAAAAGAATTGGTGATTTTTTTTTTTGTTATTGTAGTATCAATTGGAAATATTTATCTTGATTTGAGTAAAAAAAATCATTGAATTTTTTGGAAAAATATGTGTTGTTGTAATTGGGAAGAATTGAAAGTGTATTATATGTTATTGATGGATTATGAGTATTAGGGTTTGTAAGGATTATTTGATAAAAGAATTTGTAATTTTATTTTTAATGTTGTAGTATTAATTGAAATTTTAATTTTAGTAAACAAATTTTTGAATTTTATTTTTTGGTTGTGGGAATGATAAAAGAATAATTGAATTTTTTAGGTGTTGGGTTAGAAAGTATGTGTTGTTGTAATTGGGAAGAATTGTTTTTTGCAACAGGTATAAATGGCGTCTACCGGACCATACTTTGTTAATGTGTATTGGAATCATCCCAAGGGGTTGTTATATTATTTTTCAGATTTTAAAAACTCTCTGGATGGTTCATTTAGCATTGGGGAGAAGATATCATTTAAACAATTAGTAGATATTCTGTATGAAAATTTTGGGTTTCATCGAGATGGTTGAATAATTGAGGAGATTAGTTTACTGACTAACCAACCCGATGGTTCGTGGAATATTGGAAACCTGAATAATGATAGTGCTCTTCGGTATATATATTATTTTCCTCATTTCTCCTATGTGTATTTGCATTTAGAGTTGAAGCAGGTTACGCAGACACCTACACAGGTTACGCAGTTTGAGGATGTTGCCCCTTTTTACAGGAGAGTGGCTGATGTTGAGGGTACGTCCACTTCGCATGTTCGTAATTTTGGCGAAGGGACAAGCTCAACAGTTAAAGAATGCGATAATGAGGAAGAAAGTGATGATGATTTTAATTGTGGTGAAGACGATTTCACAGATGGTACCTCTAAAACGGAATCGGATAGATCAATAAACGAGGAGAGTGAACCGAGATTTATTGAAGAACACTCATTTCCTAGTAGCGGACAACACATGTACGGGTTAAGAGAATGCAGTAATTAACCGAGGCCTAGTTCGTTTACGACGATCAGCATAAAATGAACTTCTCCTCTCTGGGATCATGTTCAATACATAAATGTACTAGTGCAACTAATCAGTCAAGACAAACTGTACCGTTGACACTACAACCGTTCGGATGGGGTGTTCATTTCCAACAGAATGCAGTAATTCTTGTTTAATCTAACATGATTCTCATTCATAAAGGGTAAAAGTGTAATATCATCTAAAGCCAAGCTTTCAATATATAACACTAACAATGTCCCACTTATACTCAAAGCTTTCGCTTTTACAAGTATAGTCCTATCAATCCGTTATTCTAAAAGACCTATGTCGATCCTATCGCCATACACCTGACTCCACTTATACGATTTTGCTTCAAAACACGATGGTTGTGAGAAAAATATGTTATCCACGTCAAATAACGGTGCCGTGTTCGAAAACAAGTTTTTTCGGAGACGTTGATTATTTTTTTCATTTTTGCCCCTAATTACTACTATTTTCCATGGTTTTTTTAAATGTATATGATTTTGTTTCAAAACACAATGGTTGCGAGATAAATATCTTATCCACATCAAATGATAGTGACGTGTTCGAAAACAAGTTTTTCCGGAGACGTTGGTTATTTTTTTCATTTTTTCCCCTAATTACTACTACCTCCTTTTTTTTATAAATGTCATTTTGGCTTTATCAACAATGGACTAAATAAATGACGTTTTGGATCTTTTGTACTTATTTTTTCATTATTATCCTTATCTAGCTAATAATTACACTACATCTTTTCATATTCACTATTTATCTTTTCTCAAAACATCCATCTCTATCCTCATTAATGAGGGTTATTATTGGCAAAAAAAATATTCGTTATTAGTGTGCAACTACTCAAAACAACATCTATTAAAAAAAGAGGGAGTACTATTTTCCATGATTTTTTTAAATGTATACGATTTTGCATCAAAACACGATGATTGCGAGAAAAATATGTTATTAACATCAAATGATGGTGGCATGTTCGAAAACAAGTTTTTCCGGAGACGTTAATTATTTTTTCATTTTTGCCCCTAATTACATGGTTTTTTTAAATATATACGATGTTGCTTCAAAACACGATGGTTACGAGAAAAATATGTTATCCACATCAAATGATAGTGTCATGTTTAAAAACAAGTTTTTCTGGAGACGTTGATTATTTTTTTCATTTTTTCCCCTAATTACTACTATTTTTCATAACTTTTTTTAAATATATCTGATTTTGCTTCAAAACACGATGGTTGCAAGAAAAATATGTTATCCACATCAAATGATGATGTCGTGTTTGAAAACAAGGTTTTACGGAGACATTGATTATTTTTCATTTTTGCCTCTAATTACTACTATTTTCTATGGCTTTATAAATGTATACGATTTTGCGTCAAAACACGATGGTTGTGAAAAAAATATGTTATCCACATCAAATGATGGTGCCGTATTCGAAAATAAGTTTTTTTTTTGGAGACGTTGATTATTTTTTTCATTTTTGCCCCTAATTACTACTATTTTCCATGACTTTTTTAAATGTATACGATTTTGTTTCAAAATATAATGGTTGCGAGAAAAATATGTTATCCACATCAAATGATGGTGCCGTGTTCGAAAACAAGTTTTTTCGGAGACGTTTATTATTTTTTTCATTTTTGCCCCTAATTACTACTATTTTCCATGTCTTTTTAAAATGTATACGATTTTGCTTCAAAACACGATAGTTGCGAGAAAAAATATGTTATCCACATCAAATGATGGTGACGTGTTCGAAAACAAGTTTTCTAGAAGATGTTGATTATTTTTTTCATTTTTGCCCCTAATTACTACTATTTTCTATGAATTTTTTTTAAATGTATACGATTTTGCTTCAAAACACTATGGTTGCGAGAAAAATATGTTATCAACATCAAATGATAGTGTCGTGTTCGAAAACAAGTTTTCCAGAAGATGTAGATTATTTTTTCATTTTTGCCCCTAATTACTATTTTCTATGGCTTTTTTAAATGTATACGATTTTGCTTCAATTTAAAAATATATATTTTTTCTTATATACTATTTTATAAATGAAGAATAAGTTAATAAAAAATCAATGTATATAATTGAAATTATAGCACTTGGTAATTATGAAAATATATAATATGTATAAATATTCGAATAGATACTATGTAACTCATTATATAGGTTGAAAAAATGAATTAAATAAATAAATATAAATAAAAACATAAAAACATAAAAATAAAATATTTAACCATAAAAAATTTATGTGTTGCATAAGGATTAAAGTTACTAAAATTAAAATTTAAGTTACTAAAATTAAAATTTATTTTTCAAAGTTTTTAACATTTAATGCACTTAATAATTATAAAGGAAGATAAATATTATGGGTTAAACGTTGGTCAATTATCAAGCAATGTGCGAATTATGAACTGTTGAAAAAACTATAAGACTATGATAAACGACTATTTTATAGTAAATACAAGTAATTTGTATGCAAATATCACATGACCTTATACATTTATAATGTTTTATAAACTTATATATAATGAAATTTATATATTAAATAGTCAAAAACTACAAAAAATATATATAAATATAAGAATTATCTATCTATATTTATGTCTACTATTTATATAATGGACCAATCCTTATTGCCATAATTGGCATGATTTTGGGCGGGAAATTTTTTCGTCTATATTTGGCATTTAATTACTAATATTTATTTATTAGCAAATCTTGTGAATGAAAAACATAATTAATTTTTATACACTCAACGACTATTACTCCTTAACTACAAATTAGCATAAATTGAAATTTTGATCGTAAATTCATTAGATAATTTAATAGCAATTTATTGACACAATTCAAAAAATTATTATGGAAATTGATTTGATTAAATGTATTATTATCTATGGTTGTTGGTATTAATTTAATTAATTATATTCACTATTCAGAAGTATTTAAAATATATAATAAAATAATCAGAATAACTATGTTTAAATCATTATAACTTAATAATTAATTTATACTATTAATAAAATTTTCTAAAATGTAGTCGATTTAACTATAAAAGATACATCCTCATATATCATATGGAGTTACAATATTACTGAAAAGAGAAATAATACACTAATAAAATAAAATTTGATAGCTGGGTGCAATCCAGGAATTATAAATTTTACCTTAGAAGTACCCATGTACATTACAAAATAACCAATTTTTAAATATATATATTTTTTCTTATATACTTTTTTATAAATGAAAAATAAGTTAGTTAAAAATCAATGTATAATAATTTAAATTATAGCACTTTGTAATTACAGAAATATATAATATATCTAAATATTCGAATAAATACTATGTAACTCATTATATAGGTTGAAAAAATAAATTAAAAAATAAATATAAATAAAAAATAAAAATATAGAAATAAAATATTTAACCATAAAAATTTTGTGTGTTGCATAAGGATTAAAGTTACTAAAAATTAAAATTTATTTATCAAAATTTTTAACATTTAATGCACTTAATATATATAGCGGATGATAAATATTACGGGTTAAACGTTGGTCAATTATCAAGCAATGTGCAAATTATGAATTGTTGAAAAAATAAGATTATGATAAACGACAATTTTATAAGTACTAAAATTAATTTGTATGCAAATATCATATGATCTTATACATTAATAATATTTTATAAATTTATACGCAATAAACTTTATATATTAAATAGACAAAACTACAAAAAATAAATAAAAATAGAAATTAACAATAATAGTAAATAAATAAATGTCATATCATACTGATATAATATTATGGAGAATATACTTTCATATTTTTCTTAAATAATTTTATAATAGCTAAATAAAAAATATATTTTGTATACATGCATAGCACAAGTATCAACACTAGTATAAAGTATAAGCTCAATAAACTTATGCATATTTCATCAAAGTTACCAATAATCAGTTCATTTTGTAATATAAACATTTTTTTTTTTTACTTTAGATTATTTAAAGAAATTTAATAAAAGAATATATATTTCTTATTTTACGTGTGAAAAATCTCAACATGTGCAACGTGTCGGCGCCTCTTAGCCTGAAACCTTCTCCAGTACGAACCAGTTCAATTCGCTGCGGTTCGTTTTGAATTCACATCGAAAAGCAACTTTTTTAACTTTGGTATGAAAGTCGCATTGTACAGAAAATCAAAACCCCCACAATACACTTTCTTTGTTCAGAAGAAAAAAAGCTCACCTTAAACTGCTCCACCATTTCCCCACAAATCTCAACACGTAGCACACACACAGCCAAAACACATATTTTTTTTTTTTCATTTTTATCTCCATTAAATTGATTGCTTGAAGCTTTAATCTGAGATCGCAAGGACTGAGCGAAGATGGCGGTTAGTATATATTTTTTGCCTCCACGTCGGTTTTTGGAATTTTCTTTTGTTTGAGATAGAGTTGTGGATTATTGTTGATTTTTGGCTGATTTTCTTCACATTGCTTTCATATCTAGATGTTTATCAGGTTTCGTTGGCTTGATTTGTGTAGATTTTTCATTTTCCGATTTGATTTCGTTCTGTTGGTTCTGTAATGGAGCCAGATTGAGAGAGAAATCTGTATTTGATTCATATGTTGGTTGAATTAATGTCTACCGCCTGGCCTGGGCACATCGAAATTTTCGAATGAAATCAAGGTCTATGTCATATTTGTAGTGATATATGTTGTTATTTGTTGTTGTTTGCCTTCAACTGAAATGGGCTCAATACATGAGGTGATGGGTACACCTCATTTGAGGTGGGCGATTTATCAGAAAATCGGCTTATTATTTCACTTCGTTGTTTGTGTTGGAAAGAGATCATTTATACATTGAATTGAAAATTGTGCATCCGATTCCAGGGCAGAACTGTGAAAGTGAGCAATGTTTCACTGGGTGCTTCCGAACAGGACATCCAGGAATTCTTTTCGTTCTCCGGGATAATTGAATATGTGGAGATGAAAAGGTTTTGATCAGCTATTTTCAATTGGGTTTTTAGCTTTTCATATAGCTTGGGATATGTATTCATATTTTCATGCATGTGATTATGAATTTCTTTGTGTTTTTGGCTCGTATGATATACATTAATATCTTAGTGAGAGTGAGCGTTCTCAGACGGCATTCGTCACTTTTAAGGACACTCAGGGAGCTGAGACTGCTGTTCTTCTAACGGTATCCTCAATTACCCTGGAGTTCTTTTACTCGCTACATTGTTCCCATATTGAAAATTTTCGGGAGGGGCACATGACATGTATAGGGAGACTTATGAATTGTGCCCTATTAACTTGATTAGAATGACGTTCCCTGAGAAAATGATATTTTAATTTTCTCGCGAACTTTGATTTATTTTTATTCCGACAGTGAATTGTTTAGTGATTGACATGCTGTGAAAGGTCACTAGCTGCTGCTCCACATTTTCCTATGTTTTGGTGCTCTCTTTTAGTTAGACTAGGTGCATTTGTAGGCTCACCCTGAACCATTGCTACTGGAAAAATCAAAGAAGTGAATTATTCAAGTTTCTACAGTTCTTCCATAACGTATTACTGTCATTTCTTGCCTCCATTAAATATTAGGTGTCATTTTATCATTTACTTGTCATGGCTTGGATGGCATTTCGGATTATATGTTAATCTTCCCAGTGAATGTTGTAGGCGAATAAAGAAAGATAGTTATATATATGTGTACATATATTGACACGCTTTGCTGATTCCCTCTTTTTAAAGATATGTTTTCCTTATTCCTTCTTGGGCAGGGAGCTACGATAGTTGACCAGGCAGTTAACATTGCTCTTGAACCAGATTACCAGCTGCCGCATACAGCATCCGCGCCATAC